TCTCAAAATAAACTTAAAAAAAAAAAAAGAGGAAGAGAGAGAGAGAGGGAAAGGGGGAAAAATCGAAGTTTTGATTTTTGTCTCGCACAATTTTGGCGTGATGGCAGACAGAATGAAAATGGTCTCAGAAAAGATATGAAAGACAGGGAGAGGAGATGGAGTGATGTCCCATAAATGAAGTAAAAAGTAATGGATTTTGGGGCGCCTGGGTGGCTCAGTCGGTTAAGCATCTGACTTCAGCTCAGGTCATGATCTCACGGTCTGTGAGTTCGAGCCCCGCGTCGGGCTCTGTGCTGGCAGCTCCGAGCCTGGAGCATGCTTTGGATTCTGTGTCTCCCTCTCCCTCTGCCCCTCCCCTGCTCACACTCTGACTCTGTCTTTCAATAATAAATAAATGTTAAAAAAAAAAAAAAAAGGAATGGATTTATAAAGCACAGTGGACATTTAAGCCCTGGACAGTGGGAAGGATGGTTGCAAATACAGATAGATTCTGATTTTCAGGAGAAGGGTCAGAGTTTATGTCTCTTGTTTGTCTGTGAGATGGAAAGGCAGTGAGGGTTTTCATTATGTAAAGGGTCAATGCCAACCAGTTTTCGGCAGGGCTGGTCATATAGAGAGAATTGGAACTAGAAATGAAGATTTTAAAGACAGGAATAATTCAACTTAATTGTTTGGGTGGTTCTTGGCTTTTGATCCTCCTTTTTAAAAATTTTTTAATATTTATTTATTTTTGAGAGCAAGAGAGAAAGAGACAGAGCATGAGCAGGGGAGGGGCAGAGAGAGAAGGAGACAGAAGCTGAAGCAGGCTCCAGGCTCTGAGATGTCAGCACAGAGCCTGACACAGGGCTTGAACTCATGGACTGTGAGATCATGACCCGAGCTGAAGTCAGGCGCTTAACCGACTGAGCCACCCAGGCGCCCTGTGTTTTGAGCCTCGTACTCAACATGTAGTAGGTGCCACCATGTTTTGGCTCTACTGAATAACCACAGTAGTTCCTTTGCAAGACTTCTCCAGCAGTCCTGGTTTCCTGCATGCATGTTCGTTCTCAAGGTGACCATTGCTTGTCTCTTGTCTTTTTTCACGCTTACTCCGATTGTCTGAAAAATGCAGACTTGTCCTAAAGTCTTTCAAGACCCGGTTACTGTTTGTAGACCTGCTCTAGGCACAGAGCCTTCTGAGAAGCTTTCAGGTGCTGCCCTACGAGGGTACGTCTTTCTTTTGAAAATCTGTCAAAGAAATTCAATGCGCACCTGGAGTAGTTGCCAATCTCATACTCACTGATCAACCGGCATGTCGGACAGGACTATTCTCAGGCAGCTGAGTATTTAACTAGTCAGTTCTCCTTTCAATATTCTTTGCCCATTATGCCGCTATTTGCTGGATATTCTAATGTACTGGTGCATTTTTGTTTATGGCTTACCAAGATGCTTGTTTCTTTCTTCTTTGCTTTCAAAATGAAGTTTTAATAATTAATATTGTCATTTAGTGCAAAAAAAGACTTTTTAAAAGTTATTATTTTTCGTTGTTATAGGATATTTCATTGTAAGGATATACTGTAGCTTTTTCCAATTTTTCCCGTTCTAAACATCTTTGTATATACATTTTAGGATATTTGTCCAGTTTAGTACGTTCAGTAATTTTTTTAGTTGATTTTTGGACAATTGTATTTCTCCTTTAAGAGAAGTAATGGATATATGTGTATCTATGTATGTGCATGTATAGATATAAATATAGATATGGAGATAGATATAGATATAGATATATGTATCTTTCCTTGGTTCACTTCCTTATCAATTATCTCTCTTTTTCTCTCTCTCTTTAATGAAACTTAGAAAGTATTTCCCATTGGGGCACCTGGGTGGCTCAGTTGGTTAAGCGTCTGACTCCAACTCAGGTCATGATCTCGCGGTTGTGAGTTCGAGCCCCACGTTGCGCTCTGTGCTGACAGCTCAGAGCCTGGAGCCTGCTTTGGATCCTGTGTCTCCTCCTCTCTCTGCCCATCCCCTGCTTGTGCTCTGTCTCTCCCTGTCTCTCAAAAATAAATAAATGGAAAAAAAAAAAAGAAAAAAAAAGAAAATATTTCCCATCTCAGGTGACAGGAGCATACTATTTTTGTAGTTGAACTTTTCTCAGGGCTATATCTTTAATCTGTATGATCAACTTGGAGGTAAGAGGTGACCCTGTTGGTGAGCTGGTTATTCTAAGACCATCTATTGAAGAGGGCATCCTTTTTCTACTGATTTAAAATTATCATATATTAAGTTCATTTATATAAAATATAAGATTCTGTTTCTGAACTTTTAAATATATCCTTGTGCTGGTAACACTGTTATTGTTACTTATAACAGCTTGGGAGGGCAAGTTCCATCAATACTCTTATTTAAAAACCAAATACTTGATTACTATAATGCTTTTATTCTTCCAGATCAACTTTATAATCATTTTGTCAAGCTTTATAAAATATGTTTGCGACTCTATTTTTGAGTTGTATTTTGTTTCTAGATTAATCAGAGGCAAATTGCATTCTTCACCAAATTAAGTTTTCTAATTCAGGAATATGGTATATTTTTCTTTCTTTCTTTTATTTATTTATTTTTTTGTGTGTTATTTATTTTTGAGACAGAGACAGAGCGTGAGCAGGGGAGGGGCAGCGAGAGAGGGAGACACAGAATCGGAAAGAGGCTCCAGGCTCCGAGCTGTCAGCACAGAGCCCGGCGTGGGGCTCAAACCCACAAACCACAAGATCATGACCTGAGCTGAAGTTGGACACTTGACCGACTGAACCACCCAGATGCTCCTGGTATGTTTTCTTTTAAAAAAAATTCCCCTTAAATATACATGTGACTTGTTTTCAGATTATAACAATACCCACTCATTGTAGAGAATATAGAAAAGACACGAATCACCCTTTCTTTTCCTCCTTGTTTTTGAAACTCAGGTAGGAAGTTGAGCTAATCATCCTCATGGCTGAGCTAATTGTAGATCACTGGTCCATGGAATGCTCCTTTAGAAGTCAGAGAAAGCTAACTGCTGTCACAGACAACCCCAGTTGTCAGTAGCTCAACCCAGTAGAAGTTTATATTTTGCTTGCTTCCGTTTTGAGTCACGCAAAGTGAGGTAAGGACTTTGCTCATCCAGGGACCCCACCTCCTTCCTTGCTGTGACTTCCTTCCCAACCCCAATACCAACAATGTATTTTTTACATTCAGCACATGTTACTATTATAGTCATAAGGAGCACTCTAATAAATTACTCTGAAAAGAAATGAATTCTTGAAATTTATATCATTGGTCTTTCTAATAGTAGTATCTGTTTCTATTTGATATCGGTAATAGTTTCTACACATATCGTCACAGCGTATGCTATAGTTCCCTTTGATAAAGGAAGGCTTTTATAAACCGCTAGACCTCTGGCCAAACTGTACAGAAAAAGAAAATTTCCTTAAAACAAACAGACAAAAGAATATTTTAAGAAAAACAATCATATAAAGCATAAACCCTAATTTTGTGGAAGAATCAGGCATTTAGACACTTCATCTTTAAAACAATTTTTTTTAATGTTTGTTTATTTTTGAGAGAGAGAGAGAGAGAGAGACAGACTGTGAGTGAAGGAGGGGTAGAGAGAGAGGCAGATACAGAATGTGAAGCAGGCTCCAGGCTCTGAGCTGTCAGCACAGAGCCCCATGCGGGGCTCGAACCCATGAACTGTGACATCATGGCCTGAGCTGAAGTCGGACGCTTAACCGACTGAGCCACCCAGATGCCCCCACTTCATCTTTTTTAAAGCACTTTTGTTCACTGACAGTTTTTCCTTTTATTAATGTTTATTATTTAGATGTTTACCCTCTTTGTGATCTGAAACGTCTCTGCTTTTAGAGTGGTTCTGGAGAAACATTCTGTAGCATGTTTCAGAAATAAACAAATGAAATACACTTAGAAATTGATATAATTTCATTTTAAACTTATTTCAGATTTGACAGAACTCAGCTTCGTTTACTTTCAGGTTTCAATCACTTTGTCTCGAGACTATGCCTGAGAATATGGCCTTCCGCCACCTTCCCTTCTCAGACCCACAACGACTGCTCTCTTCTTGCACTTAGAAAGAATCAGGAACTCAGACTTCTGTTAAAATGACCACAGTGTACTTTATTTAATGATTTTGGTACCTTGTGTTGCAATAAAATAAAAAAAAAATCTACAAAATCCAAATATATAAAATTTCAAGTTTTCTTTTTTTTTTTAAGTTTTACAAGAAAAAATCATGTAACCAAGGAAATTTGCTCGTTATGAAGCACTACTTTCCACTTCATTTCATCACAAATTGCAACTTACTTAACAGACCAAAATAACTATGGTATTATAGTACATCAAATACACCACACACTGTGCTTTCCACTAGAGCACATGGGACCGCGGCCTGAGATGGCGGCCTCCAGCCAATAAAGACACTCTTACAATCCGAACGCTAAAGGAATGTTTGGATACATGGAGTTTGAATATATATATTTACAGGAAGGAAAAGAATTTCGTAACTAGTTTAATTCTTCATTTCAAATAAGATTCCAAATACATTTGTACAATGTTTACAAAGTAAAAGCCCAAGAACCGCCAAGGTTATCATTCGGGTCCAGGCACTGTGCTCGTCCTGGGGGAAATGTCTACACCGTCCTTAAACACACACGTGGGGTCTCTCGGACCTTATTTCTCTAGTGGTCATGGGAGAGAGAAACACAGGAATGGCAATTTCGCACAATCAGAATGTCATGCAGAGTTGACGACAGGGAACTGAGAAATGATTGGTCCCTTCTCTTAGTTGATGCTCATCTGCCACCTGTTACATTTTCTTTTCAGAGATCGCTTTAACACAAACAAACAAAAAAAATTGAACAGGGAAAGGAGCACAAAATATTTAAGGCAAATCAAGCAAATATAGAGCAGCTTTTCTTGGTATTAAGTGGAAACGAATTTTTTTTTCTTTCTTTCTTTCTTTCTTTCTTTTAACCCCAATCCAACTCAGAAACAAACAAACAGAGTTAAGGACAAGCTGCTGAGGGTGGGTTTCTTCCGTCATATATAAATTTTGGAAAATTGCTTTGCACCAAGTATCCTTTTGAAATTTGAAATGAAAAACCTGTTGGTTACAAAGTGCATGGTTTCATGTTTCTAAATGAAAGGACGGTAGCTGAGGTAGTTAGATGTGAAAATTAGTTACTGAAAATAACGCAGAATGAAGGACGAATGTCAGTAGTAAAAATCCTTGCCATTTGGAAGCGGGTTTATGTTGTGCGATGGTTTAATGCTGAGCAAAACGCTCCTTTTGTTTACTTTTTATTTTTTTACTAGATGTTCGTAGTGACACCAGAATACTAAGTTGTATTTGTTTCTAGTTTGCTAGGGAGGGTGTCAGTTTCAGACAAAGTCAGTATTCCCGGTAATTTTGGGGGTAACTCATGCTTTCACCATTTCTGCATGGAAGCTATAACATAAAATGGCATCAGTGATCATTATTAGAAACCTCTGGTCTAAACCGTAAAAAAGAATTCAGTAGAAACTGAGAAAAGAACCGGTAGGAAGGATGATGTCGCTCATACTCTACCACATTTTTTTTTCTTTTTTGTCTTAGCCCTAAATTCAATGTACTATTTGGTTTCAAAGGCGTGGGAACCTCTGGCTTCCTGGCTGCTCTCCTTGTTCTGAGAATGGGAAAAACCTAATGTGCATGTTTCCCTATCATCTTGCGCTCCAGGCTACCAAGCTGGCTGGTTACTGAGAAGAAAAGCAGAGACAATTTAATAGAGACAAGATTCTCACCCAGGTTCCCCGCTCCTCCTGCCCCCTTCACTGAAGAGAGGCTTCAGGTGAGACCTTCAATAAGCAACTTACCGAAAGCTTCATTTTTCCACCGTCCCATACCATCTGGATATGAAAGTTTTGCGATAGTAAGATGCGAGGGGTAAGACTGGATGTAAGCAAGTTGGCAGGCATTCCTTTGGAGCAAGAGAATTTTCTGCCACATGTTTATGGGACAGAATTTACTGGAAGTGACCGTAAGAGTTGACAACTACATTTATAAAGCATCACATATGTGATAATTACATAATGGCTGGTCCACGGCAGTACAATCACATGCATCTTTGCTAAAAAGTAGTTCTCTAAAAAAGTCTTCTATTTTGGGGAAGACTCTAAAGCCTTCCATGTGGGCTGGAAAGCCTTAAGAGTGAAGTAGGGGAGGCTCATACTTCGTTTTCCCCGGAATTAGATGCATAGCTTCTGTCTAATAACATGTTGTCTCCACCTGTGTGTTCATCTCTTTGGTGAGGAATTTCATTTCCATCACTTCAAAGAGTTGTCCAGCTACTACGTTTAGATTCTGTTTTGTACCTTGGGGGTAAGCCTGCCAGTGATGCCTTCTCTCGCAGCGCCCCCCTCATCCTGGCCAGCCCCCCTAGAACGTGCCACCCCGGATCTTATTTGCATGTCCCTGAATCCAGTCCCGTTAACTTCAGTTTCCTTGCACAAAAACAAACGATATGGATATTTCCCTTCAGAAGCAAGGATATTCTGATGCACTTTGGGTTTGAAAAATATTGATGCGCGGAACTTGGGGGTAAAAAGTCAGAGAAATCCAAATCATTTTGACTCGCTTGCTATACTCATATTTTGAGTCTAAAAAAAAAGGTATTTGTCTTAAGTGTGGCATGGCAACATAAACATTTTTTTTTTAGTGGATCAGGCAATTGCCTAGGTTAAATTCATGCTCCAGAAAGCTTAATACCATGCATTAGAAATGTATAACCAATGTGAAATTTTAAGCTATACCACTGGCAACTAGATTGTAGAATCCAGAAGAGATTATGTTGAATGTGTCCTTTATGTAGTTCTAGGCACAACATGATTTTAAACCCATTTATCAAGATAAACTTTCTGAAACCTTATTTCGTGTTTTTAAGAGCATGCATTTTTTTTTTTTTGCAAAGGAATATAATTATTAACTAAGGGCACAATGACAGTATTTATGTACATAACTTTTCCTTGTGAAGTCACAGCATTAAGACATTATCTGAATTGTTAGTATAGTTTAATGGGTATATTCCTACGTTATAATATTACCGCCCCGACTGAAAAATGATAAATATTTATAACCCCAAATTATGTGATTTAGCACTAGTTCTTATCCGGACTAAATATTTAAGTAAGAAAAAGCATGTGACTTTTGGGGGAAGTCGTACAGGATGTTCTCTATGGTTGTTTCCCCACCATCTCCTGTGTCCTATAGTTGAATACTCAGATCTATGCATGTATGAGGATACATGTATATCAATATATAGCTGAAGCCCTTGTGTAAACACTTCTCTGAAAATCTTGAAATTTATTTATAATCTGAAAAGAAACCAATTCAGAAGTTCCAGGCATAAATAAGGCTTTACATTCTTTTATTGGGTAGTAAAGGGAGGGATGTGTCATCTAAGAGTCAAAAAAGAACTTCACCGGAAACAACACAAAATCTAATCTCAATAATATCGATTAAAAATTTTCCCTCCTGGTAGTGGGTTCCAGAACACCACTTGGCAATCGTGAGTCCTGAACTCAGGTATCAGGCAGGCATTCTGGAAAATGTAGTTTGGGGATCAGGCATGCAAACTCTTTAGGCATCAGAAGGAGCCCAGTCTTTCAGATATATTTAATAACTATTTCATAAAATTCAGCTTGGCTACGAGGGAAATCGTCCTTCCGTACGAAGCTTCTCAATGTTTGTATGAAAGGAATTAATTTTTGTCATTAAAAGCTGATAATTAAAACAAAAAAAAAGTTCTACATAGACCTTTGAAGAAAAAGTTTCACTTCTGCTAAGTGATCACAAATACTCGTACTCTCTGCTTGGTGATTTATTGCTGTCGTGTTACTAAGCTGCCTCCACTTCCCCCTCCTGTAGCCTATTTCAGGGCTGCGCACAGGCCTCCTTTGCGCTGACACCGCTACTCAAGTGCCGACGCACTTTACCAACTTAACGCATCTTCACAAAATCACTATGAGGTAGGTAGATAAAGATTATCTCTCGTTTACATATGGGAAAAAGGAGGCTGAGGGCGAGTTTCTGAGGCTGAAGGGACCGACCAGGAATGAGGACTCAAGGGGCACAGATGCTAGGCCCCTGTGTGTGTGTGTGTTTCCACCACTGGACCATGGCCCTTCCATCTTCTTGTCTCCAGAAAGGAGTATACTTCATAGTGTGAAAGGATACTGTTTCGTAGAATATATTTAAGTATAATTACAACAGCCGTTATATTCAACTCAGGGACTTTTAGTTTTCTACCAAACCACAAGTATCATTCAGTTATTACATAATAAAAGATAACTGAAAACACAACAAACCAAAACACCTACAATTTCTGTAGTTGCCAACGGATTGTCGCCTCTTGGTTGCCAGTTGACTGAAACACTGAACTAAATATCCTGTCGATAACATGAAAGTAAAAAGATTCGGGAAAAGATCTGGCGAAGTCAAAAATCTCAAGGAAAAAGAAAAGCAAAGCCAAACCGGGTTGGTTTGTACACCTGCGACAGGAAGTGGCGGCGCGGTGGTCCCGAGGGCTTTCACAGGTGGGGGGCTAGCAAACGGGGTCAGCCATCCGAAGGAGCGTTTTCAAAACACAGTCAGCACAGAGCAGCGACACCCAGTGGCCGGAGGCCCTTGCTACACAAGGTGGAGCATCCAATTGATTTCGGAAACGTCTGCATGTGGTGGGAGGAGGGACCCAACAAGGACATGGGCAATGCCTACCCCACGAAGTCGTTCTAAGTTGGCGCTGAAATGTAGCATTTGACGCAATCAAAACGCTAAGAATGTACAAAACATTTAGATTTTTCTCTGGAAATGCTCTCGTGACCTTTCGATCGCGCTCTGTGTGCCTGCTTACGGTCAGTGCCTCGGAACGAGTTCCGCAACTTAAACTCACAGAAGAGAAAATCGGTCGGAATAACTTGCCTGTTTTCCTGTCCAGCCTCAGAATAGAAAATGAGGTAAGCACCCAATTTGATGAAATACACACACTCACTAGTCCAGAGCCAAGTCAGAGGAAACAAGGAAGGAAACGTCCCTAATTAGTCACAAACACAAGAGTCATACGACTATCTCAAACTTTCTTTCTGGAGAGTGAACTTTCCTTTGACATTTTCTCTTTTTTTCTGTTTTCTGGGACTACAAAGACAACACTACTCTTCCACTGTGTGTAACCAGTCAGTCCTTGGCAATCAGAACGACATCAATAAACCAAACCAAGTGTGCATTTTGTATAATTTGGGAAAAATAGCTTTTACTTCTGTCCACACCACAACATGCACCACGAAATAACTGCATTGAGTAGTTTAAATGATTTTTCTGCTTCAAAGATCTAAGAAGTTCTTGCAATGGAAACTTCCTACTTGAAGAATAAAAAGTTAACGACTCTGCATTTCCCTTGAACTCTTCTGTCAAGTAGACTTTGTGAGCGAGTAAGACCTACATGAAGAGCAGAGGGGCAAGATAAAAGGATGGAAAAGAGCTGGATAAAAAGTTTCCTCGGCAGGAAGGAGCCGTGTGGCAGGCCTCCAGAACCGGCTCGGTGAGGGAGGTCTGTGCCTCAATCACATCGGAATACCCCCCCCCTCAGGACAGCCTCCCAAACCTCTCCCACTCTTGGGTGTGCCAAAAGTAAATAAAAAAAATCAAATAGCATTTGCTCTGCATTATTTATTCCTCTTTGCACAACAAAGAGATTGTTAGCAGCAGAATATCACCAGCAACAGATTACTGCAACAAGAAAGTTAAATTTCATTACCTACAACACCTGAGCATTTTCTGTCTATCCAGACAACACCCGACTACCAGATGAAAAACCGTATCATTCAAACATCTGGATTTTCCCAAGCAGCCAAACGTTTGACCTCACCAAGACCAAATTTACTCCTTGAGTGACCTCCTTCTTCACTTTTCATTGGGATATTGGCATTCATGTGGGCAGTCTTTATTTTTTAACAATGCCGTTGTGTCTGCTTCAGTTTGGTGAAGATGTGTCAGTAATCATCCGGAAAATTCAGATGTCGAAAGCCCCTAAGTTAAAGGAAACTTAGTCATGAGAAAAAAAAAAAATCAGAGCTTTAGGGCTATCAGTACTCTAAGTGGTTTCGTGTATGGTGAGAAATTGCTTCACTGTCCACTCTCTTTTCACTTCCCTTATTCTGAAAATCATTCTCCCAAAGTTATGTTTCCAATTTGCGGATAGAGACACAGACTTGGAACGTGGAAACCTGTTTTAGTGAATTTGAACATGGAGGCTCTCGTGACGTCATGACGTATTTACAATGGGATGATGAGTAAGGCCATAGTAACCCTGAATCTCGTTGCTGTTGAAATGAGGGATAATTCAATGGTTCGTGTTCTACCAGCAAGAGTACTTACAATACCTTTGAATATCTCATCTTGTAATCCATCAGAAGCTCTTGGCATGCAGAGCTAGTTAGCAGCATAGGGGCCAATGACCAAGGAGAGCTGTTCCCATAGAGACTGAGTTAGTCTCAGACATGAAGTCCCTGGCATCTTCTCTGTCTTCTGCCTTGGCCCTTCATATATGGATGTATCTATCGTCATAGTTATGGAATAGCAGGGTGCTACCTTGAACCTCTGCTCTCTAAAAAGGCAAATATTCCTCATGAGCCACTGGTGGGCGTCCTCTTCAGTCACCTTCTGTCCCAACACAGCTTATAGTCAGTCTCACTCATGAGCCTTGCTTAAGAGGAATGTTTATTGCTCCCGGGTTCCCCACGGTCAACCAACTCATTGTAGGTTTCAGAGTTGCTTTGTTGCCCATTTTGGCTTTGGAGTTCAGGAAATTAACATTTCCTTTCACGTACTAGTTTCCACTGCCTTGCAATTGAAAATAAGTCACACGGTGGTAGGCCAGTTTTTGCCATTAAATGTCAGTGCTTGAGCCAAGAGCTAGTTCTGAAAAATGACTTTTGTCATCGTGTTCAGCACGATACTGGAGCCCATAACTGAAACTATCGTTCAGTAGCTCTTGGTACACCTTGGAGATAGTCACCAAGATGATCGCTCAGGAAGGAGAAACATCCTTGAAACACAAGAAAAAGGATCCTTGCTTCTTTTTTTAAAAAATGTTTCTGTTAGGGTGCTTATCAGATAAATCTGATGGCTTTCACTCATTTATCTGGGGTTCATTCCTAAAATTGCTCTACCAAAAGGTCAGACAGAAACTTTATAAGAACAGACGGATGCCCGACTCTTGCAGACTATGGAACTACCATCTGAGGTACATTCATTCTTCCGTTACAGCTCAAACCATTCTTGGAAAACAGAGAAGCAAGTGGGAAAGAACCGTGATTTTTTAATTGCGAGATTACCTGTTTACTTTGAAGCAAACACTTAGGCAATCAAGAATCTCAAATTGACGATCTTCTAGCTTGTAACCGAGACGTTGCAGGGTCTCAGAAGGAGCAGGAGAGCCAATTCCACACGGTCGCCTCGGTCTGAAACTTACCAGGTCACCACCCAGGGAAGGCAGGAACCAAATTACTGAATAGTTCCATCCGTGCAGATTTTTACCTCCGAAACTGAATTACAGGTTCAATTTTTAGAAATTGGTTTTCACACTGCTGACAACTGTAGCCTCAACAAATGAAGGGCGGCCACTGTACTCAGGTCAATCATTAAAGAGGTGACAATGACATTTTTTTTTTTTTCATTTCCAAACACATGTAGATTTGTATCCATTGAACACGAGTCTCTGTGACCCAGTACCTATTCTCAGAGCTACACAAGCCCCAGGAATCCATTGACTTTTTTCCTTTACCATCTTTCTTAATTTCTTTCTTTGTTTCAAAGCAGCGCTTCCCGGAAAAAACAAATGAAGCGGATGAATATTCATAGCATGAATGATGAGGAAGCAGGTAGCACGAATTCCTTAGTGCTCCTACTTTCACAGAGGTCTTTCTCTTCAGGCCTGGGCACAGCACGGCAGGAAGTGCTCTCTCCGACTAACTGATTAATTTCCCCTTGCTTGGCTACAACATTACAAGTCAAGAGTTTGCAAGATTAAAGGGTCTGTTGCATTACTTAACGCAAATCACCTTCGGTAAAGCTTGACAAGTTCCAAGATGTTTCTGTAAAAAAAAGAAGGGAATCGATACCATCAGCAATATACACCTTTGTGACAGTCGAGGCTCACATTTCTGAGTGACTGGCTCGTCCCCCTTCCCTTTCCTCGTAGCGGGAGAGATTTAGTCGTCTTCACGGGGCACCGAGAGCCTCTGATTCACACCAAGGGAAATGTTTCACCCCAGACTTCAAAACGTATTCCAGCGATCCACTTCCTTTTCTATGTACAATACATTAGAGAGCTTAATAAGGAAAGTTGAATATTTTACTTCTTTGAAAGCAGGATATGAAATGACAATTCTTTGACCAGCTGACAGATCTCCTTTGGTTACCTGACAAGTGCTACTGCTCCTAATTTGAATAGAATAAGAACCTACAGTGGTGTAGGGGGGGAGGGGGATAGAAAGCCCGGGTCAAAAGTTAATTGCTAAGTTAACAGCAGTACCCCACACACCCAAACTCCAGTGCTCCTTTTTCAGAATCGCGATGGATTGAAATGCTGACGTTGAGTGCGATGTGTTCTACTGGTTTGGAACCAAAATAGGAATTTCTCACAATGAGAGAAACCTGAGCTATATTTCCAACTCACTTAAGGGTGTTGTAGAACTCACTGATAAATGAATTAATTTGAAATAATGAAGAGTGTTGATCTGATACAACTCCATACCAGAATGCCACTAGAACAGTTAAATTAAATTAGCTGAAACGCCCAGCATCTCCATTTGTTAATATTTGTAGCACTTAACTGAAATAAGAATTTGATTAGTTCCATTTTAATGCAAATCAAGCCATAGAGAGAGGAGAGGGTCACCAGCTTAATTTGATAGATGGGAGTATAATAAAAAAACGAAACCTTACATTTTCTGAAATTCTAATAACAGCGTTAGGTGACAGGCTTTAATAACAACACAAGAGAACATTGTGTGTTGGTACTGGACTGGTAATATTTGCATATCAAGTTGATTAATTAGTTTTGATGTTGATCTGTTTTATCATCAGGATCTTTGCTCTGCAAACATCGTATCAGTAACTATACTCTTCTTGGCTGGTGCAACGGCTGAAATAGCAATCGTGGTAATGGACTACTCTTGGTGGCATGAACCTAGAAATCCTACCTTAGACCTCCCACCATTATAAGGTCAACTGTTTTATTGATGCTTGATGGGACTCACCAAAGAATTCTTCGAATTATTCTGTGCTCATACAAATGCTCATACAAATTAATATGTGTTTTCCCTTTCCTTAAAGAACAAATGGGTTTAGGCATTCCCTGACTGGAATTATTTCACTTACAGAAAATTAGTTATGCAAATTAATAGTTATCTTTAAACGATACACCCCGTACATCTGTGGAAAGCCAACCACTTGGCCATATTGCGGGGAGAGACTCAGTTTGGGTGCTATGCCAGCACTGAGTATCCAAATGAGGTGAGTCTGGCCGTCCTGACCCGTGAATGTAATGTTGCTCTTCTGGGCGCAGGAAGTATGGCTTTCGACCAACCTCTCAGGTTGCAATAGCCGAGTTTTAGGCCTGGAAATTTGTTATTCTTAAAAAACTACTTTGCTGGAAACATGTCGTATGCACTAAGGATGTTTCCTGAAGATTATTAGAAAAGCCTTCAGACATGTTAGAGGCATCTGAATGTCATGCATCTTTTCTTTAAATTTTATTGATTTGAGTGTTCTCTACACCCAACATGAGGCTCGAACTCATGACCCCGAGATCAAGAGTCAGATGCTCCACAGACTGAGCCAGGGCAGTGCCCCTGTCATGCCTCTCCTTTAAAGGAATTCGGATATGATTGTTTTGAGTCAAGTGCCATGTGCCAAAAAAGTGTTTCAACTTTTCTTTGCTGCGCTGTGACCTTGATTTAAAGACATCCAGTGTTGGAGAGGCACAAAAACCAATTATAAAATTACTTTTCTCTTTATAGATAGTCAATTGTTGATTTATCTTTATGTTGATATCGTTACCTTCTGTTTGTCACTGTATGTGGCAGTTGTTTGTTGTGAGGCTTAACATCATATAATATGGAGGAATCTATGTGTCTTTATTGCTCTGGTGTAGAATGAAATGTAGATATTACCCAAAGAATCTGTGCAGTAGAGCAAAAAAAGAGTTAAAGTCAGAAGACTCCTATTCTGCTACTAACAACCAGAGCGCAAGCTGCTGGAATGTGAGACTCCTTCTGTACTTGGCCTAGCGATGCTCGTCCTGTGGAGCATGCTTATGGGACAGATAATTGAAGGAATCCTGATTACAAAAATCACCTGATCTCTTTGGACCTTGATTGTCTCATCTATAAAAGAAATGTATTGACACAACCCTTAGATCTCTTTTAGACACTATTTTCTACAAAAATTAGTGACTTCTAATTTAACATATCGTCAGAAAGATCTGCTTAAATCTTACCAAAGTAGGAAGAGAGAAGATTGTATTTTTCATACATTAAAGTCAGACTGATCACTGCATCGTTTTCTAAAATAAACACCAAGATTGAGAAAATTTGGGGTTTCTTACTGGCTACCTTTTTAGCATCGATTCCAACAACATCGCTTAAACAACAACAACGACTTAAAATACAATGTCATTGAATGGCTTTTGACTGTCCTCCTGTAGAACTCAGACAGGTTACATCAAAAGTGAGGAAGGAAAGGGCACATCAAGTATTTTATAATAAGTTCAACAAACAGTGGGTGGACATTTGCTTTATTCTTTACATCTAACCTTTCACTCCAAGGAAAGATTCCTCAATTTATATGATGGGTCAAGCCAATGGCATAATAGTGTCAAATTTTGGGAACTGCAAGGCATACAATGTAGAGGAAAATTATGGCAATGGGATAGAATCATGTCACTTCAAAGGTCTGTTGATCTGTCTTTCCTTCCTTCTTCCCTCTCTTCCTCTTTTCCTCCCTTCCTTCTTGCTCTCTTTCTTTCTCTCTCTGAGTGTCAGAGTAAGTACTGGGGTTTAGTTATTTCTCAGATGACAGCATAGAATGACATGTATAGAATACAAGAGAAGAACTATCAGGCCAGCGTCTATTTATCTCCTCCTTAAGGGTACAGTAGGGCCATGGAAGAGGACAGTTGTCTAGAATGGAAGAATAGCACTTATCTATCTACCATTTTTATTTTTAACTTTTCATTTTGGAAGACCTCTTTGACTTCCAAATGAAACTTGCTCTGGGAAATTTCATCATCAGACCATGATTTTATTTCACCTGAAGGCTTATCAAATCAGAAGTAGATTTGGGTGGGAAAATGTTCCTTGGTCCTCTCAAAAAATCTGCAGTAGTTAAAAAGTGTTACGAGCCGCGTTCAATTCTCAGCTCCACGGCTTCCTAGCTGTGGGACCTTTGGCAATTTTAGTATCGCCCAGCTTAAGTTTTGTCATCTGTAAATGGTACTTAATTCATAGATAGTTGGGTGGATTAAGTGAAATCGCACAGGTAAAGCTCTTTAGCACAGCCCTGGGTACACGGTAAGCTCCCCATCGTGGTAAGTTACCGTCAATATGGGGAACTGAGCTGCAAGAAAATCTAAGGGTAACAAAAATCACCGAAGCAAAAATTGGAGTTTGCCAAGTGTTTCTGACGTATTATGGTCAGGATACTATTTGTGTGAGTAAAATATTTTAGCAAAAACAATTGGACATTTCAGGGACATCCAACCATCCCTCACGGAGCAGAACATAGGCCACAACAGGTTGACTAAAGTTTTCCATTTCTGGATTCGACCATGGCATGCGATATAACAGAAGTCTGATTTCTTTTCTTATGGAGTCTAGAGAAAGAGTTACAGATGGATGATCAAACAACGTGATGCCTTAAACACTCAAGGGAGAGCTTCTGAACCCCTCATTTCTGTGGGCAAATGGCTGTTTGCCATTTCTTCCATTTTGGCTTTCCGCTGTGAGCGCAGCCTGTGTTCGAGCTAGCCTAATTGCTACAATTAACAAAATTAAATGGCTCATTGTGTTTTTATACAATTCCGCCCACATTCTGTGGAGTTTCACTGTCTAATGAGTAATCCTGTTGAGACTGTTGATCACAGGCACACGCTAGTCTTCCTGTGTGCCCATTTCTAGGAGGGCGACTGGACAGGACATGCGTGCCCAGAGAAAGCTCTACCGTGGACAGTGCAGCCCCTCTGAGTGAGCAGAGGAGACACAACCCAACGGCTGAGCTCACTTCATAGCCTGATACAGGTCAGGGCCGGAGACTCGGAAATGGAGGTAAGGTGCTGGTGGGGGGGGGGGGTGGGCGCTAGAAGGGAATGGCCCATCCTTAGCCATGTTGGAATGCCCCAGCTTCAGATGGGGAAGAGGGGGGCTTTGAGTCACAAGCTGGCAGAAGCAACCGTTTTGCTTGTTTTCAGGAGTGACACCAGATTGCTGAAGCTAAAGGGACGTGAGCTGATGTGCTTCCATCGCTGGATGTATAGAAACAACCACCTCAGTTCTGCTGTGCATTTCAACCATCCTTCAAGCTATACTTCTGAAAGACAGTCTGAGCTGTTTGTAAACAGGCTTTAAGGAATTCTCCTTAGAAACATAAAAATGCAGGCATATCATCCAAGCTTTATATAGAAACAGTAATGGCTAATGGCAAAGATGTAGGGGACTGCAGAGAAGCACATATGTAGTCTAGAAAATGGTTCATTAGGAAAAAAAAATGGATCCTCGTCTACACATTGGGGGAGAACTCGCTCCACTCAATGCATTTGGAGCGTTTAAAGGCAAGTGTGCAATCTTGCACAATTCCTGGTGAGGACACAAGAGTTTTTCTTCGCTCAATTCAATCGGTTTGGAGAAAGGAACTTTGAGATGATTCAAAACTATTCTATTCAGCTGCTTAAAAGATGAAATCTTTCCGGAGTGAGACAGCTTATTCAAGCTGAAAGCGTTAAATTGCACCTGGGTATTTCCCACAACATCACAAGGATGTTGACGTCTTATAGACAGGGACTGTCAGCTCGGGCCAAAAAGGAGAAGGAAAATATTTGGTCAGTGCTATCACGTCACTTATTCATAGAGCAAAAATAAATCAGGCATTTGGGAATTAAGCATATGTACTTCATTATACTTTACTCTTCAGGTTATCTTTGTATTTTATATTGTGCTAATACTCGAATTGCATGTGCTTGCCAAGTCAGTAAGAGAATTTCTTTTGTTGGTTGTGAGTAGTAACTGAGCGTCTGCAAAGTCAGTGTCACTGAACTAGCCGGTACATAGTTACGTAGGACAGCATCAACGGCTAAGGGAATTGAAGAGACAAGAGTCATTATGGGGGACCAAACTGTGACTTACATGGAAAAAATTTGTTTTCTTCCACGCGAATACTTAAAAGTCTCAGTATGTGACGCTACGTATGTTCTTTAATCTTACATGAGGTTTCATGTCGAAATGCTAAGTTGAAAGTGAAAGAAAGGTATAACATTTTCTTTTAGAAAATTTTATGGTCCAGTGCAAAAAGGGAATGCTAAGCGCAGGACCCCTTCCCCGGCCAAGAATCCGAGTAGACTCAGGCACAGGAAGTCTGATCCCACAGAGAAAGAACCCAGCGCTTCCAATCTGTACGCTAACCAGAGTATTGTTCCTTTTTTGGATTCTCCAGTTACTGTCCGTGGAGGGTTTCACGGCAGATTGAAAATGAAATCTTAGGAAGAACTAAAACACAAGCACAAAAATCCAACTTTGTTCCTTTGTACATTGACAATGTCTCTTTAAATCCTAATACTTTAAACTCTCTGTCATCTGTGTATCTAGCATCTAATAACAGTTCCTGTCACTGCACAGTCTGAGGGCCCTGCCGTGCTCTTCTCGATCATGGAAACGAGATTAAGTCATGATTTTCCTGGGAGGTTGAGGGTTTTGGTTCTTGTACTCTGAAGAAAGTTTGGAATTTGTGGTGGAGATGTCATTTACTTAGCAAGAATTTTTGACTAACTAAAACATCACACTCTTCAAGTATGTTGGACAACAGAGTATTTCCAGTATTGGGGAAATCACGGAAAGATGAAGATTTCTTATGCCCTCCTAAAACTGCATTCTGACCTCCAGGACGAAGCACAGTACATCACTGTTGATTCACAAAGCACTCATTTTGACTCTTAACGTGGTAAAGGAGGGATCAAATTGAGAAATAACTCAGGACTTACATGACTGAGGAGTGGTGGGGCCTGCTGAGTTTGTGTCGATTGACGCTATAATTGTGATCTGTTATTTACTCGTGAAATCAAAGGTACAGTTCAGCTGAGCCATTCAGTTTCCAAAGATCATCACTTACAAGTCTTCTTGGAAATAACGAAGCTAATAACTCATGGTCCTGCACAAAGATGAAGCGTTTTTGCCAATGTAATCACGTTTTCCTTCCACGATGGGGGGCGCAATGTTTTCACCAGTCACTGACAAGAAGAGCGTCTTCCTGGGCCTTTGCTGGCGACCGGGTAAACTTTTCACATCCGGACAAAAGATCATTGTTTTTTAGTGGCAATCTTGCTTGCAGGATGAAATCATGGAGTACTAGGGAAGCACGTCAAGCGATAAAAAGTCATCTATTTTGAAAACATTGCTCTGGGGCTTTGTACCAAAAGAAGTCCTAGGTTGAGCGCTCTGCCATTTCCTGTGGATGTCACGGGGACAGCAGTCTCTGTAGGACCCACCCATTACAGGTGGTGGCTCTAGAACTTGACTATTTTAAGTGGATTGGACAGTCCAGATAACCGAGCAATGAAGTTAAACGGACTTTTCCCCTCTCTCTCTGTCTCTCTCTCTCTCTGTCTCTCTCTCTCTCTTTTTAGTGACTTGGACTAATATTTAATATATCACTTGGGTTAATATAAAACCAGGGAAGGAAGTTTAAGACATCTTCCACTGTGGTCAGGTTCGTGATAATGGATGGATGAAAGTAATCATTTACAGCTTTCACATCCTGGGAAACATTGGCCAGTCTTGACAAGCCCTTTCTAGGTAAGCTGATTCTCTTGTCACCTGATATTCTGATAGCACCCCTGGCCAGGTTCCTGGGGGCACCAACATTGCAAAGTAGGGTGATCTTCCAAGAGACAGGTGTTCTCAATCCGCTGAGGCAGGCTGATGGAATTTGTGGACCAGTTTCGGACATCCCAAGGAATGATGACGCTTAAAGTATTTTAAACGATTCCAGGTCTATAAAAAAAGTGATGATGCCTACATGTATACCCTATATTTTTTTATTACAAAAATATTGAAATAATCCATGAGTTATTCCACTCTGCACCAACTATAAAAAAATACTATCAAAGTTTGACCGGCACTTTTAATGCAACAAAAAGCACCATGACCGAGGACACTGGGAACAGAAAGCAGGGAACGTTTACTTGCTGTACGGAGGTATTTAAAACCCAGAAGTTTGTTGTAAGAGTGCGACTTTACAAACGATTCAAATACAAATCTTAGCTGGATCGAGTGATAAGCCCTCAATCAGTTGGGAAGGGTTTTCTCGTAGCACGGTCACTGCATTCATTGTCTGCTCATACTTACTAAAAAGGGTCCCAAAGCCTCTAAAAGACACATCACTTTGACCTTGGATTGGGGGTGGGGGTGGGGAAAGTCTGTACACAGTGGGGAACTTGATGGTGCACTCTCACGTCCGCGTTTGGGGGCGGGGGGGGGCTCAGGCCACTCGTTCTCAGGTGTTTGGGACTTGCACGTCAGTCCTGTGGTTGGACGGTGTTTGGCACTAGGTGGGTGTGGCCCGGCACGTGCTCACACGGAGCCACGCTTTTCCGCGTCTTGTAACATCCGGGTCAGCCTGTCCCTCTTCTGCCCCTGCACTTACATGCCAGTGTGAGCCGCACAGGCCGGGAAATCTGACGCTCGTTTTTGCCTTGTTTTTCCCGTGCTTCCTCTTCAGGGATTTATTACACGTCTGCAACTGAATACTGACTCGCGATCACCATTTCGTGTACCTCCCGAACTTCTCGAGCTCCTTGGCCTTGTCAAAAGCCACAGATGCGCTGCATAGGATTTCTGGCAGGAAGGATGTTCTCAACGGAAACTTGAAACGAAAAGACAAATCCTGAAATGTGTGGAAAACGAACCATTCCATTGATTCTAATACACATGTAAACAACAGTTGAGTTTGCTGTCCACTGGGTAGGATTTTCACACATGGTGTCAGTTTCCGAATGAGAATGGTCTATGAATTCTTTTCTAAGTGGTACTATTTGTGTTTTTTTCCTGGAGTCTTGAGGGATATGTTCTCTCTCTCTCTCTCTCTCTCTCTTTGTTTTTATATTCAGAATCAGAGCTTTGCATCAAGAAAAATCACCTAAGCTGTTTTGACAGAGGACTGGTGCCATGTGTGTATTAGCAGGTGTGTGCGTGTGTGCGTGTGTGTGTGTGTGTGTGTGTGTGACTGAATAGATTTTTCTGCAAAGATCAGTTGACTCCATCAAAACACCCTATTGATTGGAGGCAACATTTTCCGTGATAATTGTACCCTCTGGTGGACACGCTGAGAGTGGACAGGAGGGCTGGTAGCAACGAGAAGTCCTCCTAAGCCGCCATGTTCCCTTCAGCTGCTGTTTGGAAAGGAGACCACAGCAGGGCAGCCAGCTGATGGGCGGTCACACTAAGCGCATTACAGCTCTCTGCCCTGGTCTAGGACGGAGTTTCATTATTGCCACGGCCCCGCTGTCACCCCTTCACCTGGAGGTTGTGGCCCCTCCAAAGCCTTCTATTTTATAAAGTGGTTTCATACTCCAGCCGCTCCTGAATAAGGGCATCATCTTTGTACTGCAGCCTTGGAGGAGACGGGGAACATTCAAAGGCTAAGATGGCCTTCCGGAGGCTTCGGTCCAAAACGTGTCTCTCCCACGCTGGGTACCTATTCCTGAACAGGTCAATTTTAATGACAGATTCTTCAATCCGTGGTGGGCGAGACGATGGGGTGGACGGGGCTGTGGGCCTCACCTGAAAGACAGGGACGCACCCGTCCCGCTCTGCAAATTTCTGGTCGCGGTCGCTGGCGACACTGCGGTTGTTGGAGATGGACCGGAGCGTGCTCGTGGCCACCTCTGGAGGCAGAGTGAAGGCGGCGACTGGGTCCTCACAAGCACAGCTTGGTGACTGCCCGAACCTGGGTCCGTTGGGGTGAAAGAAGGCATAATACATCAGCATAAAAACGACGCCAGTTAAAAAGCTGCTGAACACCACACACAGCGCCGGGATGGCAAACGCGTCTGCGATCTGGGGAGCCTTGTAGAGGTACCAGAGGGCACTCAAGGCTGTATTTTCCAAAAGAATCACAAAGTAGTAAACGAAGAGCCTACAGCGAGTCCTGCCTTCCTTGACGTTGAACCAGCTGAAAATGTAGATGATCCCCACCACCATGTCGAACACAATCTCTTCCCATTTGGTGATACAGAATTCTGTCTCACAGTGTACGATCCAGAAGGTCATGATGCACCAGTGGAGGACGATGAAGATCCCGAAGTAGAGCTGGAAAACCGAGGCGAAGAGGGCGAAAGTGATGACTCTGGCGGCAATGGTGAAGAAGTGCCAGCAGAACTGGATGACGACGGCCATGTAGCTGATGGGCTTCTTGTCGTCTCGAGAGTCGCGGAGGGCCTTCTGGTAAGAGGCCAGGGCCCAAGCCAAAGACACGAGGGAGGCCGCCGCAGTGAAACCTACGAAGGCAAAAGGGAAGACACTCTGTCAAAAGTGAGATGCAGTGCTGTGCCCTGAAGATGTCACGTGGAGCTGGGAGCTCGGGACAGGCTAACCGTGACATCGGCAAAGCTGTCCGTTTCTCTGAGGTTCGGTCGGGCTAAACGCTCCTGGGGGTCCTACTGTGTGTCTTCGGTGGGCCCCGGTCGTACGGAGGAGTCATGCAGTACAAAGGGAATGCTACTCAAAACCAGAGAGGGGTGTGGGATCTGGAAACGGGGTGGCGGGGTGGGGGTGACTTTCCGTGTGCTGGAAATAAACCAAGGAGGTAGTTTTGTGCGGTGGGAAAATAAACACGGACTGGGGAGGCTGACAGAACCGGGCTGCTGTTTCAACTCTGGATGACTCTGGACAATCACTTCCACTGGCGTCCTCATCTGCAAAGTGGGTGATCTCCAAGGCTCCAGGCGGCTTTGAGATTCTGTGGATGAAAGGGATAAATAATCACCAGAAACTGGGGGGCGGGGAGGGGGGGAGACAGCCGGTTTCCCTTCCTGCTTCTGAACAAGAATGAAGGCACTTCACTCACAAAAGAAAGTCCACTCTTTCTTACAAATAGGAGTCCATAAAACCTTCTTGGCAATGTTTCCTGTGGCCCCTGGTATGCAGTTTGTCCTAACAGAACCCAAATGTGATTCTCCCCGTAGCTTCTGTCCGTTCCTTACTGCCCTTCCCTTAGAAGAAGACGTTTCCCTTCGAAGAAAGATGGCTTATTCTTTCATAAAGACGGGACAGAAATCACCTCAACTCCTTCTCCTATCATTTTATGGACCCCCTTTGGTTAGTACGCTCTCCAAAAGTGTGTCTGCAAGTTTCTAAAACGACTTGTAATATTTCCCTCCACTTTTGCTGCTTCTCCTGTGTCTGAAGTGTCACCCGAATGGTCCAGACACGGACAGAGCTCACCGGGAAAGGCACTGGCCTCCTTCGGGAGAGAGCCCTTTGGGGGAATTCACTTGGCCACTGAAATGTTAGTCAGTCTGCACACTACTCAACAAACTGTCACAAGACTTCCAGCGGCCACTTCTCATGTCCAGCCCCAATCAAGTCGGCAGAATGGCCCAGATGTGCCTCCCAATCCTGAGTTTTGGTTTTCTGGCTCTGGCCAGTACAAAACACCTTCCGTTACCATAACTCTTGGGCAGGTATGGCAACACTTTAGGTCAGTTCAAGGCCAGTACGCAAAGGAGGCTTTAATAATACAATTTCTTTTCTTTTTCTTGTGTTAAAAAAAATTTTTTTTTTTTTTTTTTGCTGCTTTCTTTTTTTCTGGGCTGTTCGGTTTTTTAAATGATAATATAATTTCTATGAGGTAGAAAACACCCACACCAATTGTAAAGCAAATTTGGAAGTGAAAAGAGAGGGTAGGAAGAAAAGTTAGAGAAAGAAGAAGGTGCGACAACGGGAAGTAAAAGGTCGTGGAATGACGACTCTGGGAAGGACACCCTTACTTTCAGTTGAGGACTGAAGACCAAAAAGGTTGTGCCATTTTAATGCCAACCCCTTTGAGGGGCACAGAAGCGGCTCACGACCTCGCTCCTTATCTGCACCGTTTGCCATGGTACAGATTGTTCTGGAGAGTATTCCTTGTGCGTGTACGCCGCGCCCCAGGGCAGGTGCAACACCGGAAAGGTCCTTTCTTTTTCACACCCCGCGCTCGCGCACAGCGCCACCTTCAGGAAGACGGCCACATTGTTGGGCAGGTGGATAAAGCGCGAGGCGACTCGGGGAGTCAGAACCATCTGGGTACCACTTTTCACAGGCGTTCTTAAAGGCTGTTTTACAAAGAAGTGATAAATAGTAAAAAAACCAAAAACCACACCTTACGTGCGCCGCATCGTAAAATCATCCGTTGGCAGATGTAAACCAATTGGAAAACGGACTCGGTCCAAATTCCCCGGGAATCTGCACCCCTTTTATTCCATGTCCCAAGAAAGCAATCCAGCCTGCTTCAAGACACTCCAGGAACTTGTTAAGGCAATATTCTGGCAGTAGAAAAGTAAGTTCCTCTCAGCTTTGCTCTCAGCGTATCTTACGATTTAAGACGTAAACTTTTTGCCTACAGCGGAGGCCAATTTCCTGTCCATTTATGACCGCTCCCTTCGTGAATTCTCTGCTTTAGCAACAATTAGAATTTCCCTGGTTCATTTGAGGTTTTGTTTTTTTTTTTTTCTCCTTCTGCTTAGCAGTGAATTTCTATAAGACAAATAATAGGCCTGAACGGAAAATATGGGGCAACCTTAGAGTTATTCCTCATTACAAATTCACACCCCCATGAAGTGCTTAACGGAAGAATTGCAAAAATAAAAATAGTACGTTGAACACCTATATACTCTTTGCCAGGATTGTCATATGGCTTCCTTTGCTTTATCACTGCCCACCCCCACCCCTCTTTTTCTCTCTGAACCATTTGAGAGTAAATTGCGTGCATCTAGGCTGCTGTGGTCTGAATGTTTGTGTGCTCCCACGTCCCCCTCCCCATTCATGCGTTGAACCCCTAACCCTTAAAGATGATGGTATTAGTAGGAGGGGCCTTTGGGAGGTGCATAAATTATGAGGGTGGGGCTGTCATGGATGGGATTTGTGCCTTGTAAAAGAGGCCCCAGAATGCTCCCTAAATCCCTTCTGCCACCTAAGAATACAATGAGAAGTCTTCAACTCAGAAGACAGCTCTCACCAGAGCATGCTGGCCATGATCTTGGACTTCTAGCTCCCGGAACTGTGGGCAATACATTTCTGCTGTTTATAAACTACCCAGCCTGTAGTATTTTGTTACAGCGGCCCCAAAGGACTCAGACAATGGTCCTTTACCCTATTTCCTATGAATAGGGGTCTTCTTTTAGATAACCAAGTACATTTGCCAACGTTAGTGAATTTAACATTGATACCATACTTTTTTTTTTTTCTAATCCACCATCAGTATTCTAATTTCATCAGTTGACTTGAACAACGCCCATCGTAGGATTTTTCCCTGCGGTACAGAATTGAGTCTGGAATCGGAGATTGCGTTTAGTTGTGTCATCAACTTAGTTTTCTTTAATCAGGCATATTTCCACCGACTTTCTTTGCCTTTTTGACATTGGCATTGTTTTGGAGGCACAGTACCTAAAAGAAAAGAGTGTGCCTTGTTTTGGGTTTGTCTGTTTCCTCACAGTTACTTTCAGGTTAGGCCTCCCGAGCCAGAATATTACATAAGTGACACTGAACAATAATTCTCCCCCGACACCATTAAGATATTAAAATATAAGGATTCCTCCAGTAGTCCCAAGAAGCATGTGATGTGTCCGTCAGCATTTTCTTTGAAAGTAATGAATAGCGTATCAGTTATAAAACTTCACTCTGAAATCAAACTCTCAAAAACAGAGGACTCGGCGGGATTATATTATTTATTAAAATGTTAAAATAGGTGATGAGACCTCAGAGCTTGTCTACTGCAATGATCTATCTTTTTTTTTTTTTTTTAATTTTTTTTCAACGTTTATTTATTTTTGGGACAGAGAGAGACAGAGCATGAACGGGGGAGGAGCAGAGAGAGAGGGAGACACAGAATCGGAAACAGGCTCCAGGCTCTGAGCCATCAGCCCAGAGCCCGACGCGGGGCTCGAACTCCCGGACCGCGAGATCGTGACCTGGCTGAAGTCGGACGCTCAACCGACTGCGCCACCCAGGCGCCCCTGCAATGATCTATCTTATAGAAGCGAAACCGTTTCCCGCGGGGAGGTCACGCGATTGGTCTTCCCTCGTTCTTTCCCCACGCTGGTTTCTGATGAAAATTATCCTTCTGCCCCAAAGCGAACTCCCTGCGTCCTGGAGAAAGGACCCTCTCAGTTATGCCCTGTCTCTATATTCCAGCCCTGCGTCTTCAGGAGCACAGGATCCCCAGGGATCACAAACAAATGACGGGCCCCCTTTAACCTCAAGAATCGCTCTTCACTTGATTGAATCTCTTCTTTTTTTTATTCCACACCCTTTCCCATTTTCCCTTCGATTCCTCGTTTCTGGTTTCTCCATTTTTATCGGCTCCTCCTTGAGATTACTGGCACGGGCTGGGATGCTGGCCCTGGGCCTCCTCCTTCTCAGCCCCTCCCTGAGAGACTCCACACCTCTTGAGTTTCCCAGTTCTCAGCAAACCCGTCCCGGAACCAGATGTCTCCAGCCCCAGAGCCGTGTGTCTCATTATCTACCCGAGCACCCCCAGGCCTACAGTCTCCGTGTTCCAGGTCCACAGGATCGGACACCTGGAAGGATTCTGGCTGTAGATGACAGTGTTTGCTTTCTCGTGGAAAGAAGACAATTCTTCTTCGTGTATGCTCCCTGTGGTTGGTATAGCGCCCTTCTCAGAATACGAGAGGACGTAAATTTCCGGAGACGCAGCCACAGTTCTAAGAAGGTGATTTTGTATGCAGCTTGCCTGAGAAATACCATGTTGCCAAGCCATCGGAATCCAAGAGTTCACAACCTGTGCCCTTTGGGTGTGTTGCATCTGAAGGGATCCAGAATAAACCACCGTGGCATAACAATTATTTAAGCTGAAGGCATTTGAGTTCCTGGAATCTCCCCCACTTTTGAGAAGGCATTTGTTCTCCCCGAAGTATCCTTCTGCCCCGCCCCATTCCCTACTAAGGTATATAAACTCCAGGGTGCCTGGGTGGCCCAGTTGGTTACGTGTCCAGCTCTTGATTTTTGCTCAGTTCGTGATCTCATGGTTCAGGAGTTTGAGCGTCACATGGGGCTCTGCACTGACTGCGGAGCCCGCTTGGGATCCTCTCTCTCCCTCTCTCTCTGTCCCTTCCCCTGCTTGTTCCTCTCTCTCTCTCTCTCTCTCAAAAATAAACTTAAAAACAAAGATACATAAACTCCAAATTCTAATGACCTCAAGTCACGTTTCCTTGTGAAAACCTGTGTGCACACACAAGATGACATACATGTCTTACATCTTTACACACGTGATTACATATGT